ATTCAATTCATGCGTTTGCACTTGCCATACAATTTACGACATTGCGTATGCGTAACGGTAGATTCTAGCATCTGCACCATGATGGAAGAAATTGTCTAGCTCTGCGAAATATGCGGAGTTCACCCAACTTTAAAATGATTACGAGGCGGAGGTGGAGGGAAAGGGCCGTCATCGCAACTTGCACCTATGGTTTATATATGATATCCTCCACCATTCAGAGGAATTTGTGGGTACTAGAAATATCTCAGGTCTGGTAGAAACAAATTGTGGCAACTGACCACTTTCCTTCTCCATGTTACCTGTGTTGTTGTTGTTTACAGTGTCTGCGTCTCCACACACGCTCTTTCTTTTATGTCATTTAACCGCAGAGAAGTACCACATTGTCACAAGTTTAATGGTGTACAAAACAGAATGCCTCAATAAATTCGATCTGCCTGTTTACATGACAGTTGCATTGTCTCTTATCAGATTTATATCTGATTTATTTCCACATGAATAAGGCCTGAAATCGATCACTGAATATCTGAATGCATGCGTTTTTTTCATGTTCACATGGTCAAAGAACAGATCCGATCTGTGTCACACACAAGCAAAAAAAAACAGAATTGGGTCACATTTAACTGGCAGTATAAACAGGGCCTAATGGTAAAAAATATTCAGTTCTATTTTTTATAATCTCACTTTATAAAAAACAATCTGCAGAAACACTTCTGTATTCTGTGGGACATCAGAGATTTATTTTACATCTTGTAAAAAGGGGCGTGATAGGTGCTCTTTAAGATTTAAAGTGAAAAAGGCTGTTAACAACATGGTATAATAAAAAAAAAAGATCTGTGGGGTATATTTTAAGCTTAAATTTCAAAGACACTTTCCTGGGGTTACAGATCCTGTAAAAAGGACATAATGCATCATGTTTTGGGAGCTATATCATGGGCCTGAAGTCAGGGTCATTATGGGACAATAAGAAATTCTGATATTTAAAAAAAACAAGCTAAAATGTATAGGTGTGAATCACCAGAGTCCCCATTATAGAATATGATCACGATACTTCTGTCACTTTACAATAGTATTGTAACTTTATACCACAGTATTCTGTGACATATTGCCATATTTAACCATTCTTAACTTCAAGTCAGGTCCACAAAGTATAATTTTGGCAACATCTATTTCAAACTTTTCTCACATTTTTGTAGAATGGGATTGTCAAACAGAAAAACTGATCAACACTTTAATGAAAACCTTTCATAAATGATGTATGCATCTTTCCACAATGCCACAATTTTTATTTTAATATCTTACTGAAGGTGGCCCTGCTCACCCAAAAATTCATAATAATCATGTACTGGAATGAACTGCAAAAAAAAAAAATCTGATTTTATTATTCAACCAAATAGTAAAATAAAATTTTGGTGATGCATCAATATGGGCATCCGTGCAGCTATACAATATTGCCGTAGAAAAAAAATGAAGATACTATGCTGTATCGATATTTTCCCCCACTAAAATTACTCTGTAAATATGCAAAGGAAAAATTTGGAAAGATTCTTAGTAAATTCACTATGAAACTCTGCCAAATACACACACGTTGGCCAAACTGAGTATAATCTCAGGCTGAAATGCTTGATTTAAAAAGCCTAAAATCAACTGCATTACGCTGGATAACAGAGTAATAAGCTTGAGCTAGATTTAATGACAAGTTAAAGAGCTCATGATAGGCTAAAACTAGCTAAAGAGAAAAAAAGTTGTATTTTGTGCAAAAGCAGTGTTTCTAAACCTCTTATTGGAAGTAAGTAAGCTCATTTACTGCGCTACAAAAAAGGAAACATTTGTGTGATGCTTTCTAGAAGCTTCTTGCTACAGCTAAACACTCACACAGAGCTATCTGCTGCATGCCCTGAGCTAAACCAGAGAGGGACTTGAGCTATAAATGGCAGAGAGAAAGACAGAAAGAGAGTGAGGCCTGTTCACTCCCACTCACTGCTTCCCACTTCTCTGCTCATCTCCTCCTCAGGAAACACACACATTCTTCAGCTGTGGAGAAACTCTGTCACCAACACACTCAGAATGAACATGGACAAAACACACACACACACACTTCTTTGATAAACATACACTGATTCTCTCAGAAATGATGACCCATATCTCTCTTCAGGTATCTGCTCAGAGTTTAAACCAAGCTCTGGCCCAGATACAATTTGTCAGATCATGCTTCATCAAGTGTCTGCTAGGTATTGGACCATATTTACTTTAATCACCGACACCGATCTGAACTACCTTTTTAAATACAGTTTTCACATGCAGGAACATTCAGTACCAAAATAGCTCCCTCAGATGAATCACTTCACTTCATATGAGCAGTAAGTTTCACACTCACTTGATGCTGTCAGACTTCATGCATGCTTAAAGCTAATGTGATCATTTGGAAATACTAAATTGCTTGTAATATTACCATAAAACCACTGATAGATTGGTTTACCTCAACAGTGAAAATTGTTGAGCTCTCAAATAATGCTGGGCGATATGGCAAAAATGCAATCTCAATAAATGTTTTCCATATTGAACGATAATGATATATATTTCAATATAAGTTGTTATTGCTTCCAGATTTAAAAGAGTACCCCAACAATTACTAAAGCCACAAAAATTAGAGAGTCCATTATATGGCATGACATATTTTCGGCCGATAAATTTTTGGTGGCCAAAAATTTTTTATACAGCTCTATCAACACACTTTTAGATTCCCATTGCATCTGCTGTGTGATTGGCTCTTAGATCAATATAGAGTAAAAAAAAAAAGTCCAGAGCTTGTAATTGATAGATTTTATCACGATTCGATAAAATATAGTTTATCTGCACAGCCCTACACTCAAATTACAAGAGGCTCAAAATAATAACTCTGACTGGGTATGACTAACTGTTCAACCAATGGCTTCTGAGTGTTTGTCATTGTGTTTGTAGCGGTTTTCTCAATAGTACACATTTTCAGTCCAATTTGTGAACTGACACTAACACTAAATATTTAAAGTCAATAAGATGTGTTTTTTTTTACACAATTCATAATGAATGGGCAAAACTATGGTTTTTATTTACAGATATAGATGTGTTTTGTCAAAGTTTAGTAGATCTCTAAAATATTTCCAAAAATGGTAAGTGGTTTCCACAGCCTTAACTATCGTTGTCTCACAGATTAAATGTTTTCCATGGCATAAAACTTTCCAAAAAAAAAAAAATAGTAACTAGTATTATAGTAAACTAGGGCTAAAGTAGGACTAGGCTAATAGTAAACTAGGGCTGCACACAATATATATCCTTTCAGCATCGATATTGCAATGTGTGCATTCGCAATTGAGATTATTATAGCTGATCAGCAATGAAGAATGTACAGTGTTTACATTTTACATTACATTTGATTATTCAATAATACGGACAGGACATAATAGCGATATGCATGAGGTGGCGCGTCTCATAATGGCGGATCCAACATATATCAATGTCACAATTCTAAGAATTATATGTGCTGTTAATAACAGAAATACACCGTATATTTTTCATCCATTTCTCACTCTTCACTTACAAATATCATGATATATTGTGGATGGTCTTCTTGTGATATATCGCTGATATGGTGATTTATCATTATCAGGGGCAAAATATAATAATATCGTATCATATTGAATATTACTGTACCTGAATAGCTGATTATCTATTTCCCTTTTATCTTTGCTCTATCTTATTGATCTATTCTTGTAGTATTTATTTTATAGTATTTATTAATAGTATATTAATAAAAGTTAATGGATTTATTCCAAATAGAGCTATTTAAGTCATCTGCCGAAACTGTATTTACATCGCAATAAAAATGATCTGCAATGTCAGATTTTTCCAATTTTGTGCAGCTTTAGTCTAAACCTTACTTTATTTTGACATACTATATATAATATTCAGAAAACGCTTTAAGGTGTCAACTCAAAGTGGGGTGACAGTTAAAACGTCTCTTCTGCACAGTATGGTATTTATTTAAACAACATTTTCAATAATACTGTGCAATCCTTTTATAGTTTAAAATGTTGATATTTTCTGTTGCATGTTTTACGTGTCATTAATTTAAGTGATGTCAGTTGAATTTTCAAAATCAATGTCAAAAATCTATAAGCAATACTACATAAATATTCATTGACTGTTTGCCTTTAAGTATACCTCTAAAATAAACCTTATAGATTAATCTTCATTTATGGTGTGTTTTTACAAACACCAAACTATTTGATGGAGCACCAAAAGGGGATTATCAGATTCAGCTAACTCTTGCCAACATTTTTTGGCTATAGATAGGTCAAAAATAAACCGATCGACAAGCTCACTGTGCAGATATAATCACTTGGCACTAACTGTTAAACTTTCAGTCGAGATGAACATGTGTCACAAACAATCACAAAACTGAGGGCACTGAACTTGAATCTACTAGTCAACAAATTAGGAGAAATAAATCATATTAGGTGTACAATCTTGTATTAATCTGGGAATTCTCGTGCTCTCACAATCCCTTCACCTGCAGGCCAGCTAACAGCACAGTCTACTTCCAGAACCAAACAGCCCATCAACAGCAGGAAGGGGGAATTACGAAATTGTCATGTTGCAGGCCAACAATATTACTATATTTGGAGCGAGGCAACAGATGAACTCACAACTTGACGCAGCAGAACTATTCAAATATGGCAAGTGTGCATGCGAATAGTTTAATACTCGGTGGTTAGGGACTTGAGGTTATCCACAAGTTACTGACCAGTGAAGTAGGAAGTGGGGTGATGTTTTTGCAGAAAAAGCGAGCATACTAAAAGAGACATGATCAACGTGCTGCTTACAGAAGCTTCCTCAGAGTTACGTTCATTTCTGCAATGCAACATCGCGGTTAGGCTGCTCGCGAGCTATTTATTTCCTCGTGTCACTAGGCAACGGATCTTCGAGGCGCATTAAATATTCATGAAAAAGGACGGTGAACTTACCAGCAAACTTTCCAAGTTGATCGCAGACCGCGGGTCTTTGATCATGGCTTCCAGTTGTCTCAGCCGGTTTTCCATCCTTCTCTCCGCTCCTAGCGACATTTTTGTCTCGTCCTGGCGCCAGTCTGAGCAACGAAGGACGATCTGCTCAACTTTTCTGGTTTACATTAAAGATACGAGATCTTCTTTCAAGTTGTCGAGCAGCAGCGGGCCTAGACAGCCTCCGACTCGCCGCCCTCCAAAAAAAGTACCCCGGACTTGTCCAGAATAAAGCGAAAAAAATAATCCAATGGGAACAATTGAAGTTCTCCAACTTCCCCTCACAAAACAATCTATGAAGTGGTTACTTTAAACAAGTGTGCTGGATAAAACTTCCCATCGTTTCATGCGAGCGTACCGTCAATGGCGCGATAAAGTTTTAATTTTGAGAGGATTCAGCAGCAGGGCGTTTTCTGGGCGCCCCTCTCCTCTCCTCCCCGCCTCTCTCCTCCCTCCCCTCGTCTCCTCTCCCCCTCTCCCGGGCTCTCCGGACTGGCTGAGCCTGACTTCAAATCTTCAGTTCATAAACAACGCTGCTGTTGTTCAGAGTCGAGCATCTGCTGCAGTCCACAAACTCCAACGCATTCCCGCAACACACTCTCAACGCGACGTCATACGGAACCAGTTGTTTTTTTATCTGTGTTATTATTAATTTACGATCAAGTTAATTAGTTTAAGTAACTCGCGTGCGCTTTTCTGAAGAGTCTCCCCATGTTGCTCGTGGATTAGTCCCGCCAGTCCCGCGGATCGGTTCCTCGGTGTTCCTGCAGGTTGCTCGAGCCTCGAGTTCCTTTCTCTGACATCAACTAGCGATGTCCGATCCGTGAGCGAGTCATTCTTTTAATTCGGATCTTTCAAAGAGTCGGTTTATTAGGCTCACAAAAATAGCTTGATTCTTGAATTCAAATGAATGGGAACACATTGCATTAATAATAAAATAAACACTCAAAGTATATACTTTTAATTAGATTTTTTAACAATACAGTTTAAAAACCCTTACAATATGCAGTTTTACACCTTGTGTATATAACCTGTCTCATATAAAATTACAAGACTCACACATAAATGAACAGACATATTTTACTTCAAACACACCATAAAATGAAATGTGCATGTTATCCAGAATATCTAGATAACAAAAGAAATGGCTTTGGTAGAAAAACCTTCCCAAAGTTTTTTCAGTGACTTCAAACTTTATAAAATGTACAATTTTTTATTGATGTCCAAATAATTACGCCATACTAAAATAACGAAGTAAATGTACTGTCGCAATTGCGTTATGATGTGAGCTACTACCGGAATCACTTAAGTAGACGATTCCTTAAAACGAGCTGTTCAAAAGAACCGATCGGCTGAATCCACCACTACAGTCGACAACAGCAGACTTTACCCATGAAGCTTCACTTCTCTCTGTCGCCCACGAGCGGCGGCTCACGGGAGAATGCAAATATCCTCTGTGGATCAATGTTTCTCACACCCACCACATATCACTGAAGAATCACAAGACAGTTCATCCGCTCCTAATGTTTCACTCATAACTTATAAACAGAGGAATAAAGATAATATTGTTATCAAATAAACAGCAGTTTACTGAACTGAGCTGTCTTGAGTACGAAATGAGACTTGATTAAACAGGATGTGGAAAATACCACAGTGAATCATGGTGCTGTAGTGCAGAGTAGTGTACGTATTTAATCATTTTTGAACATAAATTTCGATACGTTTGTAGTAGGCCTATATGTAGTATTCGTAGCATACTCTTGTGGACTAAACGGTAAAGTTAATAAAATGATGTGCTTGTTTATTGTTTTTAAAATAGAAAGCCTCCATTATGGCGTAACCTGTGTGTTGATTCATAAAATTTAGTCTTCCTTCCATCAGAATGAACATAGATTCACATTTTGAACTTCCCAATGAAAATGTGAAACAGCGACCTCTTGTTGTTGCAACTTTAAATACATTAAAAGTGAATGTCCACTTGTTGATGCTGTTAGAGGTTCACCTTAGCGGGAGAAATAAATATGAAAATCAATGGTTTCCTGTTTTCAGCTTTCACCAGTATTTTATTTTGTGTTCAACACAACACAAGAAATTAATAAACGTTTGGAACCACTTGAAGGAAATAGTGAGTAATTTTATATTATAAAATATTTTAGTGAACTATCCCTTTAAAGAGGGTATTTTCCCCACCAGAGGGTGCTTTTTATCTATACAGAGACAAGTGTGGAATACTCAGGCTGTACTAATATTACCTAAAATGTATTTGATCTCATATATGAGCAAATCAAAATCTATTCTAACCATCATTAAATTAACTTCAATTACTTATACTTAACAATTACACATTAAATTACTCAGAAAATAAATGAAAATAAAAGTTCAAACAGTTTGGAGCAGCAACATCTCTGACTGCAATCATGCACCAGCATCCAAAAAAGACGTTTGAGAGAAAGAACTGTTTAAGAGAAGAAAACTTTATTGGAATAAAATTTGGCATAATTATAAATATGTAAATGTAGGTCTTGGCAAAATATTGTTTCCAATCCTAATGTTCTATGGGTAAAATGTATGTTGGCTAGGACTATTTGTAAACTTCACTGTAAAGAATTAATCATCTAGTGTATAGGCTTTCAATCTTGCAACCTAAAGCACACTCTTAAAAATAATGGGACTTTATTGACATTGATGGTTCTATATACACTGAAAAGAAAATTCAAGCAGTACATCATCCAATTAAAAATGTATCTTTCATTTCAGTTTAGGTTCAAAACAGTTAAATATAAAAGTTTTTGATCAAGAGCTCAACTAAGAAATATTTGTTTTGACCAATGTAACATTTAAAGGTTACAGGCCAGTGCATGCAAATTAAACAGAAACTCAATATGCTTTGTAATTATATGGACTTAAAAAAATATTAAGGCGACTGATTAATTTTTCATTGGCTCAAGTGAGCAAAATTAAATGTGAACTAGGAAATTACCCTAGACTTCTTTAACTGGATGAATAAACATTTTATGGGAATTGTTGTTTTGATTAAAGCTGTATCTTCTTGTTTAGAATAAAAAGAGAATTTAATTTGATTTTATTCAACAAGCCAAATATGATTTGTACCAGGTTGTATAAAATTGTTCTCATGGAGAAAGAAAATATTGTGTAAGGCAAATTATTTATTTTTCATTGGGTCGAGTGTTAAAATTAGATGTGAACCATAACCGTGAATTTGTTTTAATTGGACGAATGAAAGCTTTTTTTTTAAAGTGTAGAACCTTTCTATTGCACAAAAGGTTCTTTAGATGCTGATATGAATATTTTGAACCTCATATTTTTAAGAGTGTAACTCCTTCGATGCACAAATACAGAAAAATAAGTTCTAACCTAAACGTTTGAGACTGATATTGAAACTATTTGCATTTATATACTAAGCACCTGTGTTCATCCACAAAAAAAGTAATAAGCAAATAATCTATTCATTTAACAGGATCATCTTGATTGCCTTCACCAGCATTATACAGTACACTGAAAGATGCAAATTAATGTTAACATAAAATCTAATAAAAAAATCACAAGCTGTCAACACACTGCCAAGCTTACAGCAAACACACACATGCATACACATATTGGCAGCTAGGATTTGGGTTGTCAAGAGAAAAATAAATACTTCCAGAAAAACCTGCTGAACACTATTGAGCTTAAACAGATAGAGGCGAGAGAAAAAGAACGACCCAAGGGAAAATCTCTAGAGAAGGGAAGAATCTCTGTCTAATACACCAGAGAGAATTTGAAGACATCTTGTGCCTGGTAAACCTCAGCAGGGTTGCATCTCTGGATTTCTTTTGGCCTTGCGGTGGTTGGATGTCAGAATTAGCAGATTGTCCAGCCGCACCAGTTCATTCCCAAGTTCAGTGTACAAGCTGCTGCCGAACATTTGGTTACTGGTGTTTGGGAGTCGGTCTGAATATAAAGACACAGAGTTGGGGAGAGGAGTTTCTGTACGCGGGTGACCCTGTGAGAGTAACATGGACAAAAACAACATGCAGACATGTTTTTACAACAATAAAACACTGAATAATGAAGACAAAGTCAAATATAGCTGCAAGCAGCAATTAAGGGATCAAGCAGTACAAATGCAGAATGAGCAAAGCAGCCCAGACGCCAGCATCAAGCTAGCCAAGGAGCATCAGACCACGTAAAAAATGAGTTTCTGAATACATTTGAATTTTATTGTACTCAAAATATCAGAACATCTTGAAAACAATGAATAGATATACAAATTCCTTGCTTTATAACTTTTGACCAATAGGTGCTGATGTTACCAATTTGATGTGATGTACTCAGTGTAAGATGACACTGACGCACCTCAAGTTTAGCGTCTAATTGGTGTCTATTTTATCAGCATAAACCAAGTAATAATTCAAGTTTAATTGCAATAAGTCTATGCAGTCAAATGTTATTAGCTACTTATTTATTTATTATAACTCTTAACCCATAGACGGCACTGTTACCACATTTAGGTGGTGTGGTCAGTTTGAGGTCACAAATAAGCCTAGTTTATACTTCTGCGTTGAGTGATCGGTGTGACCCACGGTGCATGCAATATGCATAGCTGTGCATTTATTCTTCTGCATGCTGTTTGTGTTGCTTTGCAATAACACTTCCAAAACACGAGCAGGCAGTGGGTTTTTATGTTCCACTGTGTCGAGTTTCTTCACTGGTGTTTTGTTTTTTTCTGAACGCTACCTTAATGTACAAGTAGCTGAAACGCACTCATTTTGAGACGGGAATCGGTGGACATGCAGCAACTTTAATCATAAGGTAAACACAAAACAACAGTTTCCATCTAGAGCTCCATCGGGCTCACGCAGCTCTCACCTCTGCCCACACTCATCAGCGCTACCAAGCCATCTTGCTAGCTTGCGCTATGTGTCGTTGCGTCGTGTAGTTAAATTTTTTGAGAGGTGCATGTCAGCATCGCCGAAGACCATGGCGAGGGATTTGCAACCACAAGTAGGCTGCGCCAGAGCATGTGCATGCGCTTGACGCAGAAGTATAAATCAGCCTTTAAACTGGTATAATATGCTGTCAATATCTTTATAGGTGTTGTAGAGATCAGGTGTAATTTGGCATCATGCCAGCGCATTTGATGGTGCAGTAAACAAAAACAGTTACACCTATCACCTAGTCAAATGTTGTGAATATCAGATAAAGTGTTCAGAAAGTAGTTTTTCAAACCACATTAAAATGACTACAGGAAATTTGGCTGATTTGGTAACAATGTTCTCAAAAATATCCAAGGAATGGATGAAGACCACATGACAATGAGTTAAACTATAAAAATATGTCCATGTGATCGCAAAATTAAGCCTTTTTAGACAACAATCAAAATGGCAGATTACCAAAATGTCTTTTATGTCAATGTAATTATGTTAATTTTGTATTTTGGCCAAAGCATTTATGAGATATAAGCGAAAAGAGCCTTTTTCATATCTTATGACCACAAGGTGGCGCTGCGCCAAAACTGTGCAGGAAAAACCTCAGATCATTTAGCAATAAGCATATAAAACTATGATTTCGTGATTTTTTTTGTTGTTGTTGACAAATTCAATTGTGCATTATTTGACAATAGTTTGATTAATCAACTTGAAAACCATAACTCTTTGCCCCGCAGATGATCTGAGTTGATTTTGGTGAAAATTGGGCATCATCATTTGAATTGACATGAGTCAATGATTCAGAGTTCAGAATTTTATGGTTCTAAAGTTATTACTATTAGCATACATATTTAGTACTATTAGCATAAAATTTGCACATTTGGACAATTGGTGGCATTAGAGAGTTTGAGTTAGAGATTACAAATTCATTGTGGTAAATTTTTAAATCGTCCTCTACTAGTGTGCCAAATGACACAACTTTCCTGCAAACTTTTCTATGGGCTGCCATTTAATCTCAGCAGAATAATAATAGGAATGCCAAAGATTTCAATAGGTGGTTACACACCTTTGGTGCTTGGTTCCTAATTACAGCTTTTTTTAAAATGGTATATTCAAAATAATGCTTTTTGATTATCTAAAATGTTAACATGCTCTTTGCTATTACACTGTACATGAACTGTACGCTTTTCATTTAGAAAAGTATTGTCCTGTAATAGTTTTTTTTTCAGTTGCACATATAAATGTATTAATAGATGGACTCTGGTTATCATCTCCTTTGAGTCTAAAAAAAAGTCCTTTTTCAGAGAGTCACCAAGATGTAGTTTGAAAAAAGGTTTGTGGATGTCCTTCAAGCTGTTGCTTCAATAAACCATTTTTTATTTAGCTGGATATTGCAAATTATGCAAAGAAACATTAAATAATATAAACTGTATATGCTTACTTTCACAACAAGTTTAATCAATTGGCAGTCCTGATATAACATTTTAATGATATTTTGAAATTCATCTTTTATATATGTATTAATTATAGATGTAATCATTTTTTTTATTCTATATAGAGAAGAAAATCTGTCAGCAACAGAGTTGAGTGATTGCTAAAGAGTCAGGGGTTTCTTACCAGCTGGTCAAAGTTCATCAGGAAACTCCAGTTCTTCTCCCTGTGATTAAACGGCATTTAGCGTTTTACAACATGATATTTTCATATCACCAAGCGACACTATGACATCAATTATTAAGAAGCAAAACTGTTGTGGTTTTATCATTTGACAGTGGTTTTGTGTACAGTAAGCCCGGCTGTATATACAGTTGGTTAAGAACAGGAGATGAGTAAGCGTAACACACACCGTCCAGGGGGCGCCTGGTCAACCACAATCTATCCCGTATCAAATAACGGGTCAAACAATGGCACATTTAAGAGGTTGAAAGAAAAGATTAGCTACGGTACTTCAGGGAAAGCGAGTAACAAACCGGTAAATGCATTATATTTCTACGAAAGAGAGTAATATTCGCATTCTTACCATTCCTTCACGCCGGATCGCTCCGCGCGCACAAACTCTCTCCAAACCTGGTCCTGCTTTACAGGATCTCGACTGTCCTCGTTTTGCGCCGGTGTCTCACCGTTTCTTGTCCTGCCCGCTGAATGCCTGAACACTGAGACTGAGGACTGAGAGGCGAGAGGACCGTTTGGTCTGTCCGGTAAACGGTAGCCAGCCGAAGTGGCGCGCCGCACGTTTCCTTTTCTATCCATCTCTCAGTCCTTAGCTCGTAAATCAAATATTACCATTTATTAGCTAAGCCAGGGTGAAGTGCATTTCTATATTTTGGTCAATTAACAAAGTTCTGAATTAATATTTTTAGCAAACCTCACCGTCTTGTTCTGAGGAGGATAAAAGTGTTGCGCGCGCCAATTTTCCCAGCAATCACAACACGAGCGCTGCTGCCGCCACCGCCGCCGGTTGCGCGGAGATTCTCTCTTGTTTACCCGGGCTGTTTCCCCGGGAGACAGCGGCCGATGCTGGGACACCCTCTCTGAGCTTTTGTTAATTCACGAGGAGGCTAGACATCCGCTCTTACAATGACAGCAAATTAGTATCACAAAAGACAAAGACTGAGAGTCTGGTGACATAAGAGTACAAGCAGGCATTTTAACAGGACAGCTCTCTTCATTCAGAACGTTCTAACACAAACATTTAAGGAGGAAAACTTACTATTGGTCCTTATAATGACATCAGAACATGCGGCAGACTAACAGCAGCTCAACCATGATGAAGTCTGTAGCTATTAATTCATCCAAAGCATCAGTTTTAGACACTTCCAGTTCACTGATAAAAAACGCAAAGGCACAAAGAAATGTCTTCTGAGAAGATTCATCCACACAGAAGGTAAAAGTGAGGTGAATGTTTCTGGACATTCCCAAACAAACATATTTTGAAGAAAAATCTAATCAGACTGACATCCATAGAAAGAAATGACCATGGATGTCAACTGCTAGCGGTTTGCAACATTCTTCAAAACATCTTATTTTGTGCTCAACTGAAGGGGAAAAACAACAGGTTTGAAAGAAGTAGAGGGTGAGTCAATTTTGAGAGTTGTAATATTGTCGAGTGAGTTCTCCTTTTAATATTGCCTTTTTTGTTTTCCTATGGACCTCAAGGGGGCGGTATACTCCATATTTTGTTTGCTAAAGTTAATTTGCAGCAGCCTAATCACACAAATGTAAATGAGAGAGAGAGAGAGAGAGAGAGAGAGAAGAAAAAAAAGAGAAATTTTAAGCATGTCATTTTAATTCTGAGTCTTTAAGTAAATGTTCTGTGTTAACAGTTTTTCCCTGGCATATTTTTAGAGAATAGTTCCTTTCTTTCTCTTTCTGAACTGTGGGCTGAACTAAGTTCACATACAGTGTCACAGTGTTAAATAATTTATCTGAGTTCAGTAAAGCCTGTGATTCACTGTGACAGTAGTTCTGACTTCTGCTCGGGGTTCAGGTGATGTTGTACCTGCAGTGAGTCAGTTGGTTCCAATTCTGCACACCTAATGGAAATATCGACATCAGATAGAGAACATCCAAATTAAGATAAAATATATTAAGATGAAATATATGGGGACTTACCTTTTTTAAGGGTGAGTAAAGGATGACAGAATTTAAATGTTTGGGTGAACTATCCATTTAATTAGTTTTAAAAGTTGTAGTTTTTTCCAGCTGTTTGGAGAATAGTTTACTTATATAGTTTAAGCCTGTTTTGTTAATGAAGCATATGGCTGGGATGTTAGAAACAAATACATGCAAATACAATAAAGTAGATTTTGCAGTTAATCATAAAACAACCACCTTATTCAAAATCTAATACTAATAGAAAATAAGCAATTTTCAGATGCTGTCAGATGTTTTGACCTTTTGATTCCATTGTTAATTGTAATAGGGATATTCATTTCCCATATACCATTTCATGAGTATCACCTAAAAGCATCTCATAACTATTATCAAAAATGTAATCATCACCCCAGAGGTGTCAGATGGTCCCGTGCACAGCAGGAGGAGACGTCCGTACGTTCTGCTTTTAAACATCGTGTCAACCTCCACATTGATTTGCAAGAGTCTGTGGTGTGCTGTCGTCTTCCAGGCCATTTTAGGCAAGGCTTACTCACCACCCCCCAATCAATTACTGGCTTTCACCATGAACACATTTAATGAAACGATTAGAGGCAATTTTTTTTATTATGGATAGATATCCGATTCCTGACGCAAGACGCCCACACAGGTCTTCCGCCTCACTCAAGGTGACATAATTGTTAGGAAAGGTGAAGCGTGAGCGAGCAAGAGATATGAAATCCCCCTCTATTGTACGATAAAATCAGAACAACTATTTCTGTCCAGTTTCACCAATCTAGTCATGTTTGTTCTTTAAAGTCTTTTGATTCATGCTGGCAGATCCACAGTTCTGTCAGGAGTCCGCTTCTCTGATCTGGTCTTTCGAGACTGCTAATTAACTTAGAAAAGAGTTTATCACTATCTCCTCAAAGGACCTCCTACACACTTGCAAAAAGTGACTTTTTTTGATCGGATGGTGAGAACACATCACATTAAAGCTTGCTGTATGGGAGTAGTGGAAACACACAGACAAACAGGTGTATGGGGTGTACGTGTGTGTGTGTGTGTGTGTGCATGTCTATCAGTGAGTCAGTGTGTGTGTGTGTGTACAGACTTAAATATATGCCAGAGAAATGTTCACTGGCATGAAAAAATCCATGTGGGTGTTTAGAGGGAAATGTGGTTTCTTTGGTATCATTAATATCTCAGAAAATTGAATTAAACATTACACTATTTCCCAGGGCAAACCTGACATGAGGAGTCCAAATATATCATATATATATATATATATATATATATATATATATATATATATATATATATATATATATATATATATATATGCATGAATAATCTACAAAAATACATTTATTATAATAAACCAGAAATGCACTAAAATACACCAAAATCGTAGACAATAGCCCCTTTCACACATACAGACCTTTCCGGAAAATTACCGGCAATTTTCCGGAAAGGTTGTATGTGTGAACAGGTCCTTTTTGAAAATACCGGTAAATTCGTTCTGGCTATTTTCCGGAAAGAGAAGTTGTAACATTACCGGCAATTTGCCGGAATGCTGCGCTGTGTGAACGCAGAAGGAATATTTCCGGAATAAGCGCGTGCACGTCTAGAACGTGCTGACGTAAGACTTCTGCTTTAGCCAATCACAACAGTCAGACGCATTTACGTCCGCGCGGTTGGTGAGAATAAAAACCTTTGAATATTTTTCCAGACGCATTTAGCTGCTAGAAGTTAGTCAGATCACGTTTATATGTTCTCCTTAATGCCAACTGTGCAAATAATCATCGATAAGATGCTTATGATAAGCCGTTGTTTGTTTACCTTCAAGCTTTGCGTGTGCCCATGAAACAGCCTGTGAGCGGCAGCACACGCACATATTATGAACATCTCGACATGCGAATATGATCCTGTGAAAGTTGTTTACAATATTGATCATCAAAAGAGTTTGTAATTTAGTCAAATGTTTACAAATACAAGCGCAGCCGTTTAAAGCTCATTTGTGGTGAATGATGTCAGAATTTACCGGTATTTTGGAATGGATGTGTGAATGCTCTTTTCCGGAAAATTTCCGTAACGTCCTCGCCTGTGTGAACAGCGCTTTTTTGAACATACCGGTAAAGTGGTTCCGTAAATTTTCCGGATATTTTCCGGTATCACTGTGTGAAAGGGGCTAGTGAGTGCACAGGATTGTGTGTTTTCTCCCGCAGATTGTTTTCCAGCAGTGTGATCACATCTGACAGCAGTCAGTCATCCTGTCGATTAAATAACATTACAGCTACAATCAGTGAATTCTAGAGGTGACTTACTAAACTAGAAGACTTAACAGAAATGTACTAAAAGGTTATACTGTTTACTAAAAGGCTGCAGTTACAATTCCTGTTCAGCCACTGAATCCACTCAATAATTACTGTTCAACTGCTTGCTGCTTTTAATTACTGTTCAACTGCTTGCTACTTTCAATATCTACTCAGCCAATCATATGAGAGAAATTCAAAGTATTCAGTTGTTGTAATGTGTATTTATATAGCGCAGTTATCTTGTATGGCCATACACCCAAAGCGCTTCACAATGATGATGCAGGTCTCTCCACACCACCACCAGTGTGCAGCATCCACTAGGATGATGCGAAGGCAGCCACAGGACAACAACGCCAGTGCACTTACCACACACCAGCTATTGGTGGAGTGGAGAGACAGTGAAAGAGCCAATTCTGTGGATGGGAATGATTGGGAGGCCATGATGGGTAAGGCCCGATATAGGGACTTTGGCCTTTACACTCCAACTCTTTACAAGAAGTGCCATGGGATTTTTAATGACCACAGAGAGTCAGGACCTCAGTTTATTGTCTCATCTGATAGACGGCGCTCACTGACAGTATAGTGTCCCCTTCACTTTACTGGGGCATTAGGACTCACTGGCTGGCTGAGCGCCTCCTGCTGGCCTCACTAACACCTAAAAACAAAAATTCTGTTATTAATAACTTACCCTTGTGATATTTCAAGCTCTTCCTCTACAGGGTTTGCACTTATTATATGCCGTACAATGTAATGCCATTAGAGTCAGCAGCGAAGCATGTAAGCATCGTATTGCCTGAATTAAAATATGAACAAGTCATTTTTACATTTTTTTAAGGTGCACAAAATTGTTTTGTGCTACATATAATTACAGTAGCACATTTGGACTTTGAACGATTCTGGACCATTTCTGTCTATTAGGGTCAGAGCTCTCAGATTTCTTTTGAAATATTTTAACTTGTGTTCTAAAGATGAATGAAGGTCTCAGGGGATTGGAAAGGCATGAGGGTGAGTAATGAAAATAGAGTATTATTTTTGTGTGAACTAATCCTTTGAAGTCCACGCGAATGTGAAATTTCAGCATATTGATGTACTTCCAACTGAAACAGAATATTGATTACAAGGCAGGGCTTTCTTTTGTGCATCATCCCCTCATAGCAAATTAACGGTGAGAGGGGCGGGGTTAAAAATATTGGTATACAGTTGCTATGGAAGCCCTCAAATTCACATCAAGAGAAGGGCAGCCACTCCAGGACATGGTCAGGCTTTGATTGAAGATTACCAAAACAAACTAAAACTTCAGTGGATTAACTTGCACAGATTACTTAATCATTTTAAGAAAAACAATGTGAACGCAGACCTTAGGGCATATGCAGAAATGGTCAAAATTATCTGCTGAACCTCAAACCGAGCATTAGAATGTGGAAAAAGAATGGTTACTGATGTCAGATGGTTTGGTCCAAGAATTTGAGAAAAAGGCACGAGCACAACTATCTTTACAAAGAATTGTCCAAAAAGATTTGCCAGTGAGCAGCAGTTCTTTGAGAGAAATTAAGGGCGTACTCACACTATACTCACACTATATACAGTTGACTTGAACCGGGCCTAAAGCATGCTTGTCCCCCCTCCCATCTCCCCCGACGGCCCGCACTCACATTACATTCGGGGCTGGGCACACTTATGTCATCGATGATGCACTGTTCAGTAAGCGATTTCTCTCTCGGCACAATGGAGATTTCTTCAGTTATATCGTTTTAGTCGTTTGGGATACGGTGATACGCAGTCAAATATTTCGCCTAACAGATCAACCACTGCTGACACTCATAAACAATCATAAAGTCCTCGTGCTGCAGGAATTAGGAGATTTGCTGAAGGTGCAGCTGTCGTGCAGTGAGGGGTTTGTGTCTTTAATAAACTATGACAGTTTGTGTTCATTAAACAGTTGGAATGATTAATAAATCCATATAAAACAGTCCCTTAAAAGTCACGTTTCTTCTTCAGTTTTGGGCTCAGGCGCGTTTTGCACTCAGCCCAAAGCCCAAGTGAACCACACTCTGGCACACCTCTTCCAACCGGGCCAGGGCAGGCCAAGTGAACCGTGCCTGAGCCCGATACAGAGCACTCACACTTCTCAAACGATCCGGGAAACAGGCCTGGGCACGGTTCGGATAGCATAGTAGTGTGAGTATGCCCTAAGAACAATAGAGTTAGAACATGCCATAAACAACATGAAAGGATGGATTTACCCTGCAGTGTTTAAGTCGTTCAGCTTATATTGATGATGATTTAATTCCACTGGGCATTTTTTCTTGCCACTGTTAGAGCCTCTTTGTACCAAGTCAGTGTTGTTTAAGCTACCCAAGTACTGTTGTTGGCCATGTTTATCACTTTATGTCCACATCTCAAAACCTACATATCTCCAACAGTTTCTTAAACATGTCAAAGAGTTCATTCCTAAATGGCCTCCTCCTCAATCTATGAATAACCTTGTAGGAACATGCGATTCACATCAAGGATAAACAGACAAATCTGCGGCAACTGTGTTTGATGCTGTCATGACAATATTATTAAAAATCTTAAGGGAATGTTTCCAGCACCAAAAAATCAGAACAAACCTGATAAAGTGAATAGTCACATTGTAAATAGTACAGAATGTCTTGTCACTTATAAGCTATTGGTCTAATTTAAAGATATGTTTTACTGTATATCAAATGACAACAAAGCAAACAAAGTCACCAAGAGACAGAGACACAACACAAACACAACCTATAAGGATTACTATATACCTGCTTCTCACCCTTGTGAACTAGGAGGCTCATATGCTAAAATGTGTCAATGTGTGTGTTTGTGTGTGTGTGTGTGTGTGTGTGTGTGTGTGTGTGTGTGTGTGTGTGTGTGTGTGTGTGTTTAAAATCAAGTCTGAAACTACTTAGATAGCAAGAAGACAGTCACATAAACTCAGCATGTTTCTGCCCAATGTGGTCACACGGGCTTAATATAGAGCGAGAGATGGACAGATCACTCCTACCTCTGTCCTCATCATTTCCACCTGATCACAGGTCAGGTCTGGCAGCTAAAGGAGTGCGCCTGCAGGCATATAATTTATTTAACCTGATTTAAATGACTCACACTGATCTGAAACTTGGACTAAAAGAACTGAGAGTAATTACTGCTACTGAACCCAAGATGTCTGATGAAGAGGTAATTAGATGAGATGCACCCAAAAGTCAGTCAGTTTTTTATTTTATTTGGCGAATAGATTGGATCAATTGAGAAAGGTATATTAAAGCGCACATTTTACGTGATGATTTAAATTGTGGATTAAAAAATTAAATGAATAATAATAAAAGTTTGCATTTAAATAGGCAAATGCTTAAGCATTTAGAGCTGGATCAGTATTGCAGCGTTTATGTGTCTGGCATGTTATATCTTTGGCATTAATTACTTTAAATCATAACTGATGTAGTTTAAATCTGTCATTTCTTATACAACCCCGTTGGAAGACCTACAGTATATGGCCATATTCCAGGATGACAATGCTATAAGATTTACTGGGCTCAAAATGTGGGAGCATGAAGAACCATTGTCAGACATGATTACTCCACCACCGAAGACTTAACTTAATTGAAAATCTTAAGGATGTACTGCAGTAGACTTTACACAGCGGTTTCAATCTCTTATTTCACTATAACAACTAGGCCAAAAACTTTCATTTGAAAAAAATGTTGCATAAGATTGCTGAAACAAAGCTACAATGATTGTACACTGCAATCAAAGCTTAAGACATTCCAGCTAATTCTGATTATAGTATTATTATATATATATATAATAATATTTAATATATAATTATTATTTATAATTATTGAATATAATTATATTATTTTCCCATTGATGGGTTGTGGCTGGAAGGGCATCCGCTGTGTAAAACATATGCTGGATAAGTTGGCAGTTCATTCCGCTGTGGCGAACCTAGATTAATAAAGGGACTAACCCAAAAAGAAAATGTATGCATGAATAAATTATATTATGCAGTAGGTATCGCTGTCGCCTCACAGAGAGAAGGTCTCTGGATCGAGCTTCGACTGGGTCAGTTAGCATTTCTGAAAAGGACCCTCCACTTCAAAAGCTACTGTACCAAAATATTTTAAATATTTCTTAAAATATAATATAATTTGTTCAGTTGCACTGGTGTTGTGAGAAACGCACCACAGCGATTGAGAAAAACTGTAATAAGGGTGTATTCCTTTGTGAATAAATTAGAACTGCAAACAGCATAAGCAGTAAAAATGTAAAACATACATATTCAGTGTCTTGTACTCAGATACCTCACTAAATGCAGTGATGTCTAACTTTACTGTAGTTTTCAAACGGCTGTTTAAATAGTATATAGTGCTGTCTTGAGCATTTTCAAGAAGTGTTCATAAACAATGGTGTCAGGACTTTTCATCTTGATGACACTGACACTTTGATTGACATGAATACTTGCTTTTGAGGAATGAGCTATCCATTTTGAGCAAGCGACATGCTTTTGCAGGTTATCAACTAGGTTCTGCAGTTTGTACTGATTGTTTTGAGAAATGCATTAACTGTTGTGCAAATGTAAATAATGTTGTGAGAAATGCACCAAAGCCACTGGAAAAACTGTATTATTCAGCTGTTTCTAAATGGTCTGTGTCTAAAAGTGAGGATAACGTATCCCCCCTCCCCCAGTTGCCCTGCGTTGTTTTAAGAAACGTACTTACTGTTTTGCCAAATTTTAATTCTGATCTGAGAAATGTACCAAAGCTACTGAAAAAAAACTGTGAAGTGTTCTCTGACATCTTGCTAAATGCCTGAAAGTGCAAAAGAGTGACACAAATCAGCCTGCAATCAAGAGCTTGCTTGACTGGAAATCACTGGGCCTTTTTACGCTTCTGATCTCTGATGAAGCAGGTGCACAAAATGTCTCCATGCAAGAAGAACAAGGGAAGAGATTCAGCCAAGGTACATTAGGCAAAAAAGAAAAAAAAACATTATATATAAAGATTCAGAAATGCATAGCTCAAACACATAACAGAAAAAACTAAAATAATCACAATAACATTAAAGGACAAATAAAGGGGTCACTTGAGGAAAACTCGTTTCCTCCCACACACACACACAATGCAGGGCTTTCACCGCACACGTGCAACCCCTGACACATAATGAACTGGCTTCTGCGGTTACTTTTTACAGCAAAATTGTCTCTTAGGGTTGTAGTCCGATGACCCTCTCTAAAGCTGTTATATAATTGCTATTTTTCCCTGCATCCTTTCCACAGAGAGATGGAGGCATGATGACTGTAATTATCCTGCCGCAAAGCAGACAAAACGGGCGAAGCTGCTGCCCGCCTGACAGAGAAAAACGCTAAAACCTCTGTATTCTGTTTCATTCTGTGCCTTTCTCTTTCTTCGCTCACACATTTCACCAATTACTTTGCAAAAGCCAGTGAATATGAAATATGTTTGCCTGCATGCGAAAGATGGAAAGGCGTCTGTGCCCATATTAATGTGAGCATTAGTGTGGGTGTGTGTTTGTAAGTGCATATGCGAGTTGGGTTTGATAACTTGTGGCAGCTGAATTGAGCCCCTGCCTCGTGGTTTCCCTTAGATACGACTAATCAGCCATTTAATTACACAGGCCTCTGTTTGTATTGAGCATTTATGGGCTTTTACATGCTTGAAGACAGTAATTAAAAAGCAGTTTGGGAGCGAAAGGAAGAAAGAGTGCGAGAGATGAGAATGACAGAGACAAGGGCAGCCCGATGATTTCAATAAGAATGACAGTCTTTAAAAGCACTGTCTGTCTTTTGTTTATTGAGATTGTCAGACGCTGAGTGCTTTCTTTTGCTCCACGTTACCTTTGTGTCTCTGCGTGTGCCTCCGTGTTTTTCTCCCGACGCCTCAAGTTTCTTCAGGCGACAGGAAGCTTGAGTGTACGACTTGGTAACCAAGCAACAACATACCAACCACGCTCTAAAATTAGGGATGTGATGATGACGTCAAGCTAACCAAAACAAAATCATAAGAACATTAAAATGCACATGTAACAGCAAGAAACACACCGGTTGCTTTTCATACTTCAATCAACATCAATTTCTCAAATAAAGCACAAATATAGCTCTGCACATTGCCCTTTAAAAGTAATACACCACCAATCTTCTGTGCTACGGAATTAAAGCTCTCTTAGTAAATTGGCATACAGTTATAGCACCTCAGATGGAACAAACAAAGTTCAATTTTCTGTTCCAAATTGCCTTAATTACTGTGCTAATCTCCACAAATGAGATGCATCCAAGGTGTTTATATTGTTAATCAGCAGGCAGCAAAACTAAGGTGCTCTCCGTATTATTTAGATTGTTTCTGACCTCAGGTCAGAGTTGGATTGTGTGTTTGTAATGTGTTTTTGTCCACTTACCTAGACTCTCAAGAAACAGAAAGAATGGAATAAGTCGTTGGATCTATACTCAGTGGACCCCTGCTGTAAGAAGTACCACTAATGGTACTTTTAACCGCTCATCCTGAGACAGTGTGACCTTCATACCATGCAGGCAGTCTTCTGATGTGCAGCTTGAGGTCTGTTTCCTACTGGATTCTGCCCAAGGACTTCATAATGAAATAGAAAGAAACTGTCTGACATAAAGATTCCAACAGGTATGCAGAAAAATTATGGAAAATTGAAGAAAACCATTGAACTATTTAAAAAAAGGAAAATAAGGTGTTCACAATTACCAAAGAAGAGCCAGACAAACAGACGGACGGACGGACGGACGGACGGACGGACGGACGGACGGACGGACGGACGGACGGACGGACGGACGGACGGACGGACAGACAGACAGACAGACAGACAGATAGATAGATAGATAGATAGATAGATAGATAGATAGATAGAGTGGGGCAAAAAAGTAAAAATCTGAAAATGACATTGTAGGATTTTTAATGAACTTATTTGGAAATTATGGTGGAAAATAAGTATTTGGTCAATAACAAAATTTTATCTAAATACTTTGTAATATACCCTTTGTAGGCAATAAAAGAGATCAAACATTTTCTGTAAGTCTTCACAAGGTTTTCACACACTGTTCTAGGTATTTTGTCCCATTCCTTACACTGGCTGCCTGTTAAGTTTCGTATTGAATTTAAAATATTACTTCTCACCTATAAAGCTCTAAATAATCTAGCTCCTGTTTATCTAACCAACCTTCTGTCTCGCTACAAACCAACTCGCTCTTTAAGATCTCAAAATTCAGGGCTTCTGGTAGTACCTAGAATAGCAAAATCAAGTAAAGGAGGTCAAGCCTTCTCTTTCATGGCTCCTACACTCTGGAATAGCCTTCCTGATAACGTCCGAGGCTCAGACACACTCTCCCAGTTCAAAACTAGATTAAAGACCTATCTGTTTAGTAAAGCATACACTCAATGCATCACCTAGCGGGTTCCACACTGGCTTCTACATCTTGCTTATATACACTATGAACAGCAGCTACGCTAATTATTTTCTTTATTCTCTATTTTCACCTGGGGATACTCATCCCGAGGTCCTCAGATTATGCGGAGTCACTGATTGGATCCAAGACCAGCGACGTGATGATCCCAAGGATTCCATATCCGGGACCAGGCCATATCCTGAGCTGCTGCTGCGCTGATGGTCGTGGGGAGTGGAGAACATGAGTCTGATTCCAGCAACGCTCCAGGGACAGACGAGTCTTCGCTGAGGCCATCTTCCAGCCTAAACCACGGCGTATGAAGTTCTGCACAAGACTTTTGGCCATCGGAGAAATTAAAATGGTCGTGCCCAACTGAGTCTGGTTCTCTCTAGGTTTTTTTTCTTCACTCCCATCAGGTGAAGCTTTTTTTCCCTCTCCGCTGTCGCCACTGCCTCGCATGGTTCAGGATTGGTAGAGCTACGCATCGATGAATTTGCTCTTCAGTGTTTGAACTCTCAGTAATGATTAAATCACACTGAACTGAGCTAAACTGAACTGAACTTAAACACTAAAAACTGAACTACACTGTTCCAGTTACTGAACCACACTGTTCCAGTTACTATGACCATTTATGTGAAGCTGCTTTGACACAATCTACATTGTAAAAGCGCTATACAAATAAAGCTGAATTGAATTGAATTGAATTCCTCTATGCAGATCTCTAGCGCAGTGATGTTTTGGACAACACAGACTTTCAATTTCCTCTAAAGATTTTCTATGGGGTTGAGATCTGAAGACTGACTAGGCCACTCCACGACGTTGAAATGCTTTTTACGAAGCCACTCTTTTATAGCCCGGGTGATGTGTTTAGGATCATTGTTAAGCTGGATTTATTTTTTCGCCTGGCGCCGCATCGTGCACCTCCACTGACTGTGCGCGCACTTTGCGAAACAGACAAGGCTTTAATACTTGCCGCGTTCGCCATTGTGGTATTCTTTAAAATGACAGGGGGCGATCAAAAGAAACTGACAGTAAAATCACATGAATAAACAGAGAAGTAGGAAGTTTGCGGAACTATGTCTATTCAGTAATATCATTAAAAATTTTTAAACCATTTATTTTTATTGTAAATTTTTATTTTAAATGAAAGTTTGATGCATCACTTGCTAAACTACTTACTAAAAAAAACAAATGTTTTTTAGATTTAGCCCGCTTCACAATTGGCACATTACTGGCTAGTTTCTGTCTTCTACTGATATGCTAAAAAGGCAATAATGGTCCAACATTCCTGATCATTGTCACCAGTAAAGCCTAGAAAAAACATCCATCAGTATATTGTAAACCGATATTATCGAAATTTATCAAAGAAATAATTTGTTCCTCAATTATAGTTTTTATAGATTCCTGTTTCAGACAAAATCTCTTCAAAATGGTTCATTTTCAACTTAAATCAAATGCTGCACTGTGCAAACTGTTCGCTTGAGTCTCAAAAAAACCATGCGTACCGCTGGCTGAAATTATGTCGCGCGCACCCAAAGCAAACCTCCGCAAACTCCGCGATGACGTCACATTCGCGCATGCACTCAAGCAAACTAGCAGACTCGTCGAGTATAAACCAGGCTTTATGCTGAAAGACCCAGCCATGTTTCATCTTCAATGCCCTAATTGCTGATGGAAGGAGGTTTTCTTTCAAAATCTCACGTTACATGACCCCATTCATTCATTCTTTCCTTTACATGGATCAGTCGTCCTGGTTCCTTTGCAGAAAAACAGCCACAAAGCATGAAGTTTCCACCCCTATACCTATGCTTCACAGTGGGTATGGTGTTCTTTGAATGCAACTCTGCATTCTTTTTCCTCCAAACACGACAAGTTAAGCTTTTACCAAAAAGCTTTATTTTGGTTTCATCTGACCATATGACATTCTCCCTTTGTTACTTTGGTCCCAGCTCTCTGCAGGTCATTCACTAGGTCCCCCGTGTGGTTCTGGGATTTTGGCTCACAGTTCTTGTGATCATTTTGACACCACAATGTAAGATCTTGCGTGGAGCCCCAAGATCGAGGTAGATTATCAGTGGCCTTGTATGTCTTCCATTTTTTAATAATAGTTGTCCCCAGTTGATTTATTCACACCAAGCTGCTTACCTATTGAAGATTCAGTCTTCCCAGCCTGGTGCAGGTCTACAATTTTGTTTCTGGTGTCCTTTGACAGCTCTTTGGTCTTGGCCATAGTGGAGTTTACAGTGTTGAGGCTGTGGACGGGTGTCTTTTATACTAATAACTAGTTCAAACAGATGCCATTAATACAGGTAAGGAGTGGAGGACAGAGGAGCCTTTTAAAGAAGTTACAGGTCTGTGAGAATCAAATATCTTGCTTGTTTGTAGGTGACCAAATACTTATTTTACAGAGGAATTTACCAATTAATTCATTAAAAATCCTACAATGTGATTTTCTGGATTTTTTTCTCATTTTGTCTCTCATAGTCGTGGTATACCTTTGACGAATATTACAGGACTTTTTAAGGGGAAGAACTTGCACAATTGGTGGCTGACTAAATAGTTTTTTGCCCCTCTGTAGATAGACAAACAGACAGATAGATAGATAGATAGATAGATAGATAGATAGATAGATAGATAGATAGATAGATAGATAGATAGATAGATGATAGATAGATAGATAGATAGATAGATAGATAGATAGATAGATAGATAGATAGATAGATAGATAGATAGATAGATAAGAAAAAAATATCTAATCTCATCCATTTGATCTCCACTGTTGTACACACCAGTGAAAATAACCACAAACTCGACTGCAGTTAAATGGGGTTTTTCCATGTAAAAGAGACTCTGGCACACAGAAAGATATAATTAACTCTGATAACACAGTGTTTGTATGTATTGGAGCAGCCCGGTTAGTAGGCAGACTGTCCTTGACTTCCTCTAAACTCTGCCGGTTTTATTCCCTCCTCAGAATCTCTGTGAAGTTAATCCTTTTAGAGTTATCACCTCCACAGCAGACCCCGCTCGCCTCCTGCCTTTCCAAGACACAGAGAGTCTTTCCCAAGACACAGAGATTAACCCGCAAGAGAGAGAAACAATGCTCTGATACAGGAGGGATGGACGGCTGCACAATAATCCTACAAAGACAAATGTTATTCTGAGGAGTGAGTGAACGCTCTCTTTTGATGCTGTTTAGAGAATTTGTAGAGCGTAGAATAGGCTTGAAGGATGTTTTGGGGGCTTGTTTATGTGGGTCAAAAACAACATGAAAGATTATGTAATTCCGACTAGAGTTTCTCACTGAAGTATAAGGGGTGTTTGAGGCATAGACAAGAGGATCTGATTCCTTAGGGAGAAGACATGGTTACTATAAACTCCTCGTCAGAGAGACAACAAGACAAAAATATCGTTGTGTCTGCTAATGGGACAAAAATATCGTGTATTGAAACATTTTGATGTGCCATGCAAACTTCAAGTCTATCTGTAAGCATTTTAAGGCAGCTATTTTTGTTTGATTTGCTTGTAGCTCTTTTTATGCCTATGACAATCAATTTATCCCTTTGTGAGGAACCCCCTCAATAAAATATAAAGACTGTTATTTTTTACATAGATTGGTATGTCTGTGTGGAGTTTGCATGTTCTCCACGTGTTGGTGTGGGTTTTTATCAGGTGCTCTGGTTTCCCCACCATCCAAAGACATGCACTATAGGTAAATTGAATAAACTAAATTGACCGTAGTGTATGAGTGCGTATGTGAGACTGAGAGTGTATGGATGTTCCCCAGTACTGATAGATAGTACATCCAGAAAGTATTCATAGCGCTTATTTTTCTCACATTTTTTATGTCACAGCCCTATTCCAAAATGGATTAAATTAATTTATTCCCCAAAATTCTACACACAATACCCCATAATGACAATGTGAAAAAAAATATTTTTTTGATATTGTTGCAAATTTATTAGAAAAAAACCCTCAAAAATCACATGTACATCAGTATTCACAGCCTCTGCCCAATACTTTGTTGATGCACCTTTGGCAGCAATAATAGGCTCAAGTCTTTATGAATAGGATGCCACAAGCTTGGCACACCTGTCTTTGGGAATTTTTGCCCATTCCTCTTTGCAGTACATCTCAAGATCTATCAGGTTTGATGGGAAGCAATGGTGTAAAGCCATTTTCAGATCTCTCTCTCTTCAATTGGATTTAGGTCTGGGCTCTGGCTGGGCCACTCAAGAACATTCACACAGTTGTTGTGAAGCCACTCTATTGATATTTTGGCAGTGTGTTTTGGGTCATTGTCCTGCTGGTAGATGAATCGTCGCCCAAGTCTGAGATCAAGAGCACTCTGAAGCAGGTCTTTATTCAGGATGTCTCTGTACATTGCTGCAT